AGCCATGCATCCTCCACAGAACCAGCAGAGCCGAACGCAACCAAAACAATCCTCCACATATGAAGAGCAGTGAACACTGAAGCACAGCGCAGCTCATAAACACAGCCTTGGCAGTACAGACTTTATATTTCAGATTTAAGTGGGTTTCCCTTTTACAAGCCAGAGTCCAGAGATGGATGGAAAGGGTGAGTGCGCATTTATTTTTCAGCGATATAAAAAGAGCACGGAGCTCAGCGCTGCTCCTGTGCGTGACATCTATCCTCGTTTGCGGCTTCTCATTAACAAACAATACTGCTGTGAAATTGCGTTAATGACAATGTAATAAAATATTCGGCTCACAGACGGCCCGAGGCGCAGCACCATCCTACAGCGCTCTCTCTGTGTGCCGTACCTGCAGACCGTATAAATTAACCCACTTATTCACCTTCTGCTCTCAGATGCTTCTCTTTCTTCAGTCTTTCTCTATTTGTTTCCCCTCAAAACAAAACGTGCCACCCCAGAACATGAAAGCGTTTCACTCCTGTGGCCCGGCTCACTTTCATTTGCATTCACTGCACTTACACTTACAACACCGCACAAACATGATTCTCTTCCGCAGTATTTTTGTCTTGTTTTCCAGTATAAATATCTAGATTTACTGCAGAAGCAAAATTACTTAAGATACTCAGGTTCTGTTTGGAATAAGTCTCAGAATTTTTAATTTTTTTTATAATTAATGCATAACACACACACACATACACACACACACTATACACACACACACAGACACACTCACACACACACACATACACACACACACACACACACACACACACACACACACACACTCTTTAAAATAATTTTTTGTGTGATTATTAGTTAACAGCATTAGTTAACATGGACTAACAATGAATAACACTTCTGCAGTATTTATTAATCTTAATGTTACGTTCATTTTTTAAAGGGGTCATATGATGCGAATTCAATTGTTCCTTTCTCTTTGGAGTGTTACAAGCTCTTGGTGCATAAAGACCTACCTAAAACGGCTCGTTCTAACACGCCCCACATGTCTACCTCACTATGTGGGAAGATTTGCATAACGCCGCCCAAATGTTCACGCAAAGAAAGAAGCATAGCTTTTAGGGATGCACCGATACCACTTTTTCCAGTACTCGCCCGATACCGATACTTTTATT